GGGTGGGGGTGGGGAGAGGTCTTACTGATGTATCCACTCCTGGGCTTCCATCCCCCAACATGGTCCATGTCTGAAAGATGTCACTTGATTGCCAGACTTGCCAAATAGTTGTCACAACATGAATGCCTTGAGGGCAAGCGTGTTCCCTTTCCCTTTCTTTTCTTTTATATATTTTATTGATTTTTTACAGAGAGGAAGGGAGAGGGATAGAGAGTTAGAAACATCCATGAGAGGGAAACATCGATCAGCTGACTCCCTCACACTCCCTACTGGGGATGTGCCCACACCAAGGTACATGCCCTTGACCGGAATGGAACCTGGGACTCTTCAGTCCACAGGCTGACACTCTAGCAGTGGGCAAACTTTTTGACTCGAGGGCCACAATGGGTTCTTAAACTGGACCGGAGGGCCGGAACAAAAGCATGGATGGAGTGTGTGTGTGAACTAATATAAATTCAAAGTAAACATCATTACATAAAAAGGTACGGTCTTTTTTTTTTTAGTTTTATTCATTTCAAACGGGCCGTAGTTTGCCCACGGCTGCTAGCCACTGAGCCAAACTGGTCAGGGCACCCTTCCCTTTCTTATTCGGCTGTCCTTTCTTTTCTCTCTCTCTCTCTCTCTCTCTCTCTCTCTCTCCTAAGCTCTAAGGGCCCTTCTTGTGCCTCTGTAGCTTGTTTCCTGAGCCCGCACTGCCCAGCTGACTCACTTCTCCCACGGTTCACTTCATCTACCCCTGTGACTTTCTAAATAAGCTTTCCCTTACAATTTGAGTTCCTTGACTCTGAATTCTTTCCCAGCCAAACTCAAGAACTGAGGTTCTTAGCCAAGGTAACCTCTGGTGCACGTAGCCATCACCAGATTTGTGCCATTGGTGGTATTAACTGGCTGCTTGGTGACAGCACTGTCTGCCCGGTTTCCCGCCATCAAGTCACACTCTTTGCATTGTGATGATAAAGAATTTGTTGGGAGACCCCTGTGTTTGCTCCCACTAGGGCTGGTCTCCCATTTCTTTTATCTACCTCGCTCTGTCCGTTTCTGTAGCCCTTCCTTTAGCGATCCTGATCCTAAGGCAAAATCCTTGTTTAAATGAGTGATAAATATTTTGCCTTAATTAATACTTAATTTCTCACATGATAAATTTATAGATAACACGTGCACCGGTGGGGTCCCTCGGCCTGGCCTGTGCCCCCTTGCAATCTGGGACCCCTCAGGGAATGTCGGAGAGTTGGTTTCAGCCTGAGCCCTGCAGGCCAAGCCGAGGGACCCCACCGGTGCATTAATCTGTGCACCAGGCCTCTAGTATGCATATAAGATCTTTGGTTAATCTCTTCCCGTCCTTCCTCCTCCTCCTTCCCTATGAGATTCATCAAACTGTTCCATGTTTCCATGCCTGTGTACTGAGCGTCTGCCCCCTGGTGGTCAGTTTGTGTCATAGAGACCATTCGACTGTTCAACCAGTCACTATGATGCACACTGACCACCAGGGGGCAGAGGCTCAACACAGGAGCTGCTCCCAAGCAGAAGCACTGCTCAGCTGACCAATGGGAGCCTCTCCCACAGACACTCCCCCTGTGTGCCCCTCCCCCATCGGGACCAGCGTCGGGACTGACTGGGCACAAGTCCGCAGCTGCTTCTCAGTCACGGATGCACTGTATTGCCCTAGGATGGGCACGGAAACCGCAGCGGAAGCCAGTGAGCCTACCGAGCGGCGGCAGGCTCAGCGGGGCTGGGATGAGCGGGAGCGGCACCTGGCCGGGCTCGGGCTCCTCCCTGGCCGCCTGCTACTTCGCACACTACTACAGCCCTCGGGGGATGTTGGACTGTCAGTTTCGGCCCAATCCCTGTAGGCCACGCCGAGGGACCCCACGGGTGCACGAATCTGTGCACCAGGCCTCTAGTATATAGATAGTAATGGCTACTTTTCCCTGAATAACTGCTATGTTTGAGGCACTGATCTAAGTAGTTAGCATGCATGGACTCATTTACTCCCGACATAACCCTAATGTGCAGGTCCTCTTATGAGGTCTCTTTCACAGGTAGCTGAGGTCTAGTGAGGGCAGGTAACCTGCCAGGTCACACAGCTCAGAGGTGCCTGGACTGGGATCTGCACCCGGGCAGTCTGGCTTCAGAATCCCTGTTCCTAACCACAGTCCACACCTCTTTCCTCTGTCTCCTTTGGCACCACCTCTGCTACTGGCTTGGGCTGGGTCTTTCCGTTTTCGTAAGTTCTTTTGATCCAACATTTGCAGGGGGAGGGGTCACCCTTTTAGGATTCCGTTTTCTAAACGTGCCCCCTTGAGGGTCTTTCAGAACAGACCTATTTGGGCTCCTGGCATCCGTCCTTCCACACCCAAGGGCGAAAGTGACGGTCAGCCCTCCCAGTGCCCAGGCTGGACTCTGCAGAAAGCCAGGCTGTGACAGGGATCACAGCCCAGGGTCCCAGGTCCCATGTTAGCCGGGCGGCTCCCAGGGAGACACAAACTACCCTTCTTATAGCTTTAGGACCAAGTTCTACCAAGGAGGCGTGAAGCTCACTTTGCCTAGTCCCTCTTCCCTGGAAGGTGCTGAGCAGGCTCAGGAGCGGGGGCAGAGCTGGTCCCTGCGCTCACTGTCCCCTTCTCCTTACAGATACCCACGGGCTTCAGCGTGGCCGCCAGTGTCCGGATTGGGAACGCGCTGGGCGCGGGAGACATCGTGCAGGCCCGGAGGTGCTCCGTGGTCTC